CTACAAATCATCGCATGACGATAACATCGCAGACATGCGTTTACCTCATACAGTCACTTATCTTCTTTTTTTCTGTATTATTTATTAAACAATATTTTACAAAAAAATTTATTTATTATTGACCTTTATTAGTTAAAGTAAATTAAGTAAGTTTAAATTTCTAGTAAGTTCTGTATGTTGCATTAATTTTTTTACTCATTTTAAGTTTTAAAATGCTTAAGTGTCCTTTTTATTTTTTTCAGCAAAATTTTATTAGTTAATTGAAAATACGAAATGCAAAAGTAAAAATATTCATCTTTTCTTCTTCCACTCACAGATCATAACGCAAATATGCATTTACGACATTTAAAGCATGAGAAACGCATGTCTGCGATACTATCATCATGCGGTGATTTGTATGTGCTTTTCTTTTTACCATGATATTTCCTACAACGATGCTTTTAAACTGCGAAAGTTTTTGAACCGCTTTAATTTCGAAGGCGATATTTTGTGCAATGGTGTTTTAGAAGTGCGATATTTTCTCTTTGCTTTCTTTTCTCCCAGGATATTTTATACTATGACATTTTCGCCTTGCTTTGTTTTCTCCACGACATGCTCGTCCACGATGTTTTTGCCGCAATGATTTTGGCGGATACCAGTCAGATTGGAGGATTTGTTTTTGACTGAGGACCATGGACCGATTCCCTGATATTCTTGATCATTCTTAGTAATATGCTGATAATGTAAAAAAAGAGTTCCTGATCTTTCTAATAAATAAAACGCTACAAATCAAATATCTGTAGCTGTGTGTTCGAACTCATCGATTTGCAGTTTAAAAAGTGAATGAAATGCAGCTAGCTACTAAGACATTTTTTGGAGTGTTTGCTTTAGGTAAAATATATAAGTTTTGCGTTTTTAGAAGCGAAAAAAATGGGAATTTAGAAAGTACTTCACAGAGAAATTAGTAAAAACAACATCTCTTCCCCAAAAAACATCTGCTATAACATACGTTAAATTTTTCAACGGGTAATTAGGGACTGATACACATTTTAAGAAATAAATTTACATATATATGATTTGGATTGCAAAAATATATTATATATATTGCAAAAATTTCGCGAAAATTCCAGATTGCAAAAATTTCCAGAAGGTACTTTTCTGTTAGAAAACACGATACAAACAATATGTATTTAAAATGGTCATATGAAGAAAAGTAGGAATTAAATTTTTCCGCCTAACGTAAATTCTTACACCACCTCTGAAATCCACGTTCTCGTCATTTCTTTATTTAAGATGAAATAGTCTTACACATGCATTTTTTCCCTATATTAGAAATGGTTGCTTTTAATTTTTTTGTAAGATGAGGAGTAACTTACTAATTAGAAATTTCTGCGCAGATGACTGTATACGCCATGGAGGTAGGAAGTAAGATGGAGTCGCCCTAAACAAATTTCTCCCATACCCTGCTCTGAAGCACCGGCGATCCCTACGTGGTGACCAAAACATCGGGTCATTTACCATTGAGTTCAATGGGATTTGACGCGTTCGGATATAAATATTTTGTAATTACGTCGCAAATATACATATAAATGTATATATTTTCTTTTTCTACAACACTTCAGAGTCCTAAGTATGTGAAAACAACATATTTTTAAACAACATTTCATTCTGAAAGGAATTAAATGCTATACTTTTCACAGGACAGTTTTCTCAGAATGGTTTAATTTGAATGAAATATTTTCACAAGTTTTCGTTAATTACACTAGGAAAAAAAATTAAGGTAATTCAATTTTATTCGGTTAAGGTACAAAAATTAAGATCAAAGTTTATTGTATTATTAATATTAAAATTATGCATTATTTCTTTTCTATTTATAGAGCTTCTTCCTAAAATACTTTCTTAAATATGACATGATTTTTTGGCTTCTGAGGCATCTTTTAAATCGAAAAAGGTAAGTCAATTTATAATTAATGCTCTATTTGGTTCATTTTAAATTAGAGAATTATTAGGAATTAGCGAAATACTTTAAATAGTACTTGACTTTCTCTGAAGATTTCTGAAATTTAATAAAATAAGTTTTTTTTAAGTATTATTTAAAACTTGGAACCGAGTTATTATAAAATGTAACAGGAATAATTCTTTTAATTATACTTATCAGATTTTTTTTTACCTTTCATTTCAACAATACATATTCTAAAACTCTTTATTACGTTCTTAAGTGCGCATCTCATAGCATTTGCTTTAGAATACCTTTTAACAGATTGCTTTCCAATACGAACAATTCTTGCTTAAATAGTTTTATAACGTATTTGTCAACAGGATTTCAATTATATGTTTACAATTCAATATTAAGGTTATTATATATTTAGATAACATTTATAATCATTATAAATTAGATACATTTAATAATTAGATTTCTTCACAGTACTTTCACAGTTGTTTATAAGTGAATAAATTCTTCATTTCAAATACATTTATAAATAATTTAATGACCTGCGTACGTTAAGAAGCCAGCATAAAACTCGAATTTCCGAGAAAAAAAAAAAGACTTGCGTGAGAAAGATTTAACAATCTGGAATCAATAAGAGGACCATTCATGATCGGACCTCTTTTGGCAGGATATACAAATGTTTTCACCTCCGTCGATTACCCTATTTTCAAATTCTGTGTGGTGTGGTGTATTTAGTTATGGCAAAGCACACTAGGGCTATCTGCCTAAGGGAAGGGATGCCTTTCGTGGAGGACTTTCTAAGGGAAACCGGCTCGTACACGTTACACACGGGGAAAACCACGAAAGCGCCCATGCAGCCAGCCCGTTCGCGGGATTCGAACCTCGGACCGAACTACCAGTGTTCAGCGACTTTACCGCTCGGCCGCTGGTGGGCATTTTCAAATTCTGAATAAGCTGTCTTGATGATGTAGCACGTTCGACGTTCGCATGGTCACATCATTTTGAACGCACATGGTACTTCCGCCAAATTCGCAAATGTATCCCTCCTCTGTTCCACACATTTGTGTAAGACTGTACATAATTTTACACAAATGTGTGGTTCCAAATCAAGGGAAAGCTAACTTATTGGCATATCTGTGTGTATATTTATTAATTTTGACGAGGATTGCAGCATTTGATGGTAATTTTATTTTTAATTAACCCAAATAAGTAAAACGTGTAAGCGCAAAGTGATTATTTTTCAGATATTTAAAATTAAAACGATGAGCTTAAAATGGGCAGCAGTAAAGCCTCTCCTCTAAAAAATTTTAAAAAGTACATGTTAAATAATATATGGATATGAAAAAAAAATGTGTTTTATTTAAAACATTTTGGCGTTTGGAAAATAAAATAAAAGTAGCGAATACTCTATAAAGGGTATCGAAAGACGTATACAATTTTAAATGTACCGTAAGGTGTTTTTCATTCTTTAAGCATAACATTTTTTCTTAAAATCTATATTTTTGTAGTTCAACAGCTTAGAATTTTATAAAACAAATTCATAATCAAAATCGCTGTTGTTAGTTATCGAAAAATAACCAAGATGTGATTTTTGCCTAAATGTCACTAAACTATCCAAATTGCTATTATCCATCACACTATGAATGTTTATTTCATGCGAAAGTGTCCCTTTTTCTATTTTTATGGAACTGTCGTGTGTCGAAATACTATCAGAACCCTGTCAAGCGAGCTTCTGAATGTAAACAAAGAACACCCCATCTGGTGACCCAAGCTTCAAAGCAGTGCTTCACTTCTAGCGGCGGTTGGCTCCTCCTTCCTTTCCTACCTCCATGGTATACGCATACAAATTTTGTACTGTCCTACTAAAAATGTTTCATATACCAATATTCCGACAGCCTACCTTATTTAGTTTATTTTTACTTCCTTCTTCGAAGAAAAGGAAGTATTGTAATAGCGAAAAATTTCGGTTATCATATTTTAAAGAAAATGTCTATTTTGACTCTCGAAACCATTTGAACGATGGTTTTGCATGACAGTTGTATGTACGGACAGGATAAAGTATTCTTTTTTCCAAAACGGATAGCAAAATGGGTTTAAATGGATTCAGAAGAAATGTTTTCATGCCGTTTGTACGTACCTATGTATTTCACATAACTCATAAAGCAGTAGCCGTAGAACGTTGAAATGTTGTACACGGAAGTGTTATAACATATAGTTAGGAACACCCTTTACTTTTTCGTAGCAATTGACCGCAACAAATGTAAATATATATAACTCCACTCTGTTACCCGGAGTTTTTATTCTTATAGATTGATAAATAATGCATTTTTTGCTTTAAAAGTGATTGAATTATATTGTTCCTCTCTTCCGCTTATGGTTTAGTTAATCCGCATGCAATGGTTGTCAATAGTTGTAGAATCATCAACAAAGTAAAACGATTAAGGACCGCTAAGCCTAACTGGGCCGCCATTTGTTTACATTTGAAACTCTTAGAAGAATGAATTAAGTCAGTTAGTGCACAAATTTCAGTGTCTTCCTGCCCGCTGGCCGAATTGCTTGTTTTTGTGTAAAATGTCTAATTTTGATTGCAATTTTTTTATAGCTGTTTTTAAGTATATTTGGTATTTTAGGTTTTTCTGTATTCTGCAATTTTCAATGAAGATGTTTCGAGTTTTTATGTATTTTTGTGTTCCCGCGAAGTGAGAACTGAATTGATTGAATGAAAAACAGTTCTCTTATTAAATTCGAGGATAAAAGGTACTGCAAAAATTGTGTATGATTTTAGAAGCCGTACAAGAACCTCATGTGGTTGTTCACAGCAGATATGTTTGAATTATGAGTGTACAGCAAATTATTGAACATATATTTAAATCGTGATATCTTTATAAACACTTTGCATTAGTCATCTGTAAATGAAGCAGAAAGGAAAAAACTGTAAAGAAATTAATAAAATATTGAATTTAAATAAATATTATCTTCATCTTATCTGTAGAAATTTTCTACATAAGTTCTACAAGTTTGTTTTACAATTAATAGAACAGAAACATGCAACTGAATTTTTTTCACTTACGTATTGAATATTGCGCAGAGAATCCATTTGATGTTCCTATGTCATCCGATCTAAATTTGATCCAAAGTTTGTGAGCTGCTGTTAGATTACTTGGCATTTCACTCCCACAGTACCTCCCAATCATTGGTCCGGAAGCATCGTTCTTGTGTATTTCAACGTAATCTTTATTACAATACTCACTGCTTTCCAACACAAAGCTCCTGTTGAATATAAGAATTTTAAAAATGAAATGCATTTTTTGCATACTAGGTAAGTATAAATAAAATGAAAAATTAAAAAAAAAAAAAAATATGAAATGTTTCAGTCTTAAATTACGTCCAAAAGGGCTTTTTTTTTAAACGATTTGTGTGTTACCTTTACTTATTAAATATCATGTTCTTGGCACTTAAACCATAAAACTCAGTTCAACAGCAATATCGCAAAATAATTTTAAAATGAGCACATTTTTAAAATTTCCAATACGCAGTCTCGCTCGCTGGAGACAAAAATATTTTTTTCTGTACAACGTTGTCATTGCTCGCTTTGAAATACTTGAGTTTGCTAATCAAAAATTCTTTAATGCATGGGAAATTATAAAGTAGATAATAAAACAAATTCCAAATTCTAAATTAGGGTAACCAGATGCTCATATTCGGTGAAAGATTACGTCATTCGAAATTTGATGGCTGTAGGTACTGCTGTTTTATCACAATGCGAGAAACATACATACATTTATGCAGGTTCTTCATTATTTAATTTCTTTAACTATAGCGCCGAGCGATAATATTTGGTGGCGACAATGTGAAAAGTAAACCAACATTTATAGTGAACCAACGCAAAATGCCAAAAAGAAATTAATAGTCCTTCAGGGCAAATTGCCCATTTGGACTAAAAATAAAAAGTCGTCTGCAACTTTAACTTTCCATGGCAACTTTACTCGTTTTCTTTTTTTTGATGGCGATGCCACAATAGAAAAGTACAACTAAAAGATGTCACAAACGGTACATTTTCACTAAATAGAGTTTGTCTTGTATGAATGAAGTTTACGCAGGTTGGGCTGTAAAATACTTCGGAAATTGCGTTCTTAAAATTAAAAAAAAAATTCAAATTCCTTAAATTTGTCTAATATAGAAACAGGTTTCCATCTGATAATGCCACCGATATTTAAAATTATATTCACAGCTTGAGATTGTAATTATGATAAAAATATAAAACCAATTTGTTACTCACTAGTTTCTTCATATACTCATGTAATTTATGTATTTTAAAATTACAATAACACTAACCACATACTTTTAGAAAACTTTCCCTGTCTTTTTTTAAAGAAACTGCTTTGCCTATTCTAGGTAGAGCGGTGGCTTCGGAATAAAATATTGTTCTCTTATATCTACTGTTTTAAATTTTGCTTAAATTGTTTCTTCAGTTCGCTTTTCTCCGCAAAAGCGTTCATAAAGGTAATTCAGAAATCTGGTATTGAACGTGTGTAACGATGATTCAGACATGATTGATTATTTTTCGATTAGATGTTTTTTACTGGAAAATAAAATATTCCGCAAGAAGTCCCAATAATTAAATGTTAAAGCAATGGGGATTTTTAGGCCGAATTTATTGTTATACAAGTAAATAAAATGCTTGCACAAATGAATAAAATAATCCTCATAGTTACCATTACGATGTTTCATGTACAGAAGTTTTGATTGTGACCTAATAATAATTTAGAGTTGTTCTCTCTGTGCAATGTTTGTTTATACTCTTATAAACTTTGCTCCACATAAATGTTTCCACAAATTGTTATAAGATTTAAGCATACCTCCCCCCAGTCATATTCACGTCCACTCGGCTTGAGAACTCACTAAAGGACTTCTCACTACAATGCCCACAATTGGATAATCTGAGGTTACTGGCAAGTAATACCTAAACGCTAGAAACTCAGTATAATCACGCAAGTGTCAAAGTATCAGTTATCTCTCACTTCATCTGAGCTGGTAAAGCGCAAGAGACCAACAATGTACCAACCTATATTCACACTGAATTTTCCCATTTTTAGCTATTGTCTATTTTCTCCTTTCTGTTATACTGCAAATTGTGTTTTTCATTATTTTACTTGCCAATTATTGCTTATCAAAAGAATAATTTTTATGAAATTTTAAAAATCTTGCAAGAGATGGCGCAACCAGAGCTCCAGTCAACTAAAATGCTTTTGTTCCCTACTAATAGATGGCGCCACACGAGCACCTCATTTGTTCAAAGTTTACTTGTTCTACGGACGGCGGCACAGGAGACTCCGTCGCTAGTACTCTCTGAGTTCTAGCACAGCATGTGTACAAGTACTTCCATATTATTGGATACAACTTTCTCGATTCTTCAAGCATTTAAAAGTCAAGTATCATATATTGGTAAAGGCCGTTTAATGGTCGATTGCCTCTTACTAAGTGATAAGACATAGACATAGACATAGATCATTTCTGTTCACTTTTTGAATATCGGATGTGGAGTAAAACGATCTTTAATATAGTGGGTGCTTCGAAATTTATAATCATCAGTCCTTTGGTATTTAATTAGGAAAATGCTCAAAGTAAGACCCACTGTGGAAGTATTTCAGGTTACTGGGAAGTAGTGCTATGTACAGGACAATTATTTCTGCATCAAGGTATAAAACCAGCCCTTTAATCGCTCTGTCAAAGTTTTTCTGTAAACGTGGATTGCAGTTGAAATTCAACTAATGGGAAAAGAATAAAACTTCCAGATTTGTTTTGCGATGGCGTGAAAATAGTATTGATGCGTTTTCAAGCCACGTGGACCTATGAGCAATTATGTGCCTGAACACTGGTAATTCGACCTAAGCTCGATTCTAGGCAGAGGTGCTGATTGCATAGTCGTTTTCAGGATAGGTCCTCTGTTTAAGGAACATACTAACAGTTACACTTGAAACTCCCTCCAAGAAGGATATACCTATTTGGCAGACAGCCAACGTGTGCTTTGCTGTAATCAAATAATACACTTATTAGTATATAGAATAGATAGATAGATAAAAGATAAAGATAAAAGAATAGATAACCACTTTATTTGCAGCCCTAATATATAAATGTAACCTAGCAATGTAACTTAGTACAACCTAGTAATTAAAATGTTCTTGTCAAAAGACTTAAAAACTGCAACTAAATATAGACTTGTTTACTGGTGTGGTACACTGCTGATCGAAAGTGCACACTGAATGCAAAGCCTAAACTTAAAAGACCTTGGATTTTATTCATCGAAGCTCAACTGTCATTGCAGAAACTTTTGGGTTTGTGGAGAATGTGCAGGGGAAAAAAAAAGGAGTAACTATTATTTGGATAGGTGATACCAGACGAAGAAGGAAGATTTGACAGGAACATGAATAGATGTAAATTCTAAATAATTTTATAAATTGCTTAATAGATTTCTTGATTTGTTGTTAGCTTTCACCCCAGATAGGTTGCCATATTTTCTATATATACCAGATGCTTCACTTTCCTGTATATCTATTCGATGAACGATACATTTTTTTATGAAATTTCCGAACTAATTTTCTTCATATGTTGAATGAATATCTTCTATACCACGTTTCTGTGGCTCAGTTAAAAATCGCTTAATTGCTTCTTATGGGTAAATCCAAAGATTAAATATTAGGCTGCCTATAACCACTTTTGGATTAATGGATAATGAATTTGTGTGCTAATGGATTTATGGTATAAAAATTATTTCATGTTTTCTACCATCGGTCTGTTTTTACCCTTATAGCGTGTTAAAAATTTTGCAATGCATTCTTAATACCTCATAGCATATTTTCTTAGTAAACGGAATTGCAAAATGTACGCATACCCAATACAAGAACTCAAATTATACACATTGTAAGAACTCGGAATAGAATAAAATAAATAATTACATAAATAATTGGTTTCTATTTAAAAATAAAAACTTAGTACTCGTCTTGCCATATGATAAAACGAAATATAGAATAATAAAAAAATTAAGTGAAGTGGAAGAATAATATTGATTTTTATTGTCTTTCCTTTTTCAATGTAAATTTTACAACGGATTAAAACACTTTCATAAAATTTTTTTTTTTTGAGAAATATTTTTAAGAAATTTATGAAATGAAGTATACAAACGATTGCTGAGAAATTCGAATAAATAGACAAACGATTCTATAATAATATTTTAACCCCTAATTCTTTTTTAAATCATCCACAATGCTATCAGCTTTATATTTTCCTCAATTTTGCCAGACTAGGACAAATGTATATTATTACAATAATTATTATCGTCTTGGTGGGTGTTTTGCGGTTTGACTGTCTTACGGACCGCATAGCGTAGTTAATACGGGTAAATTAATTTCTGTGCTACGACTGCCACTACGACAACTTTACTATGACCAAACTATTGCAAAAGGCATAACTACTAAAACTAAAGACCTGAAGACATAGCAGAAAAATCGGAGGCAAGGAGAAGATAGAAACAAGGAGGGGCACAGCCAAGCTGGGCGGAGAAAAGCAAGTCGTCGTGAAAAGAATCTCTATAATGTCGTGCCATCTGTAGAATTGCTGTGCTAATATCGCAGAGCGTATTTATTAATACATCATACGGTATATTCCCGAGATGTGGAGATCGCGAGCACTGCCCACTCGTTTAGTCCATTTCGTGTAAGGTCCATGGAACACACTATTGTACAAAATATACCTGCAAATAAGTTATGCCAAATCATGATAATTGCTCCAAATTAATATAATTGCTATTCACAACATCTCCAGCTTCCCTTAAATGCCATAATTGTTATCACCGTTACTAAATGCTTTGCATTCAAAATTCTTCATGAACTTTATGCTAGCAAAGAAAAAGAAACATAAATTTTAAGGTGACGCCTGGGAATCTGCAAGTGCGACTTCGTCGCTTAACGAGACACTATTGTGATTGATGAAACATTTCTTTTTTGTTGATGTACCATTTTCCAACTATACCTGTTCTAAATAATCGCTCAGACTGTCCAAACCATAGCGGAGAATTGTGAAGAGAGAGCTAATCTTGTTGAATATGGCGCGGTAGAAAATGAAGTAGTATTTATTGTCTAAATAGAAATTCAACTTTAAAATAGTAAGCTCAGAATAAACAAAGTTGCGAAGGCGGAGCTATGTGACGTCCATAAATGGGTGGGACTAAGGTTTCTATTTTCTCCAATATTTTCAAACAACGCCGAAAGTGA